AGAGAAAGGGATAGAAGGGGGCAGTGTTTGGCTTGAGCTAGACTAAGACAGCTGAGAATATCTGGAAGAAATGGTTGCATTTTCAATGTGGGGAGGAGGCTTCAGTCTCTTGTGCCTGGTAAAGAAAGAATGGAAGAGAGAAGCCAGTTGCTCATAATTTCTTTGTAAGCCCTTTTAAGGCAAATCTCTAGAAAACAGGGCAAGAGATAATCCAAGACCAGTCAAATCAGGCTTTAACTTCCACTCATCTGGGATCTGTCTACCATTTATTTTCCCCTTTCTTACTCTGGTTAGATCAAGTAGGAGATCCATGGGAAATTGTTCAAAATCTTTACATTTCTCAGTTTCCTCATCTATACTATAAGGGACTCTGTTGAAGTCATTTCTGTATTCTATTCCTGCCCTGCTGTACACTGTCTATGATTCTTGATGGTTAGGCATGCACCAACTACTTGTGGAATAAATATAAAACTCCTGGAGACTTGTCCTGACCTAATGGATGCAGTGGGACCCAGGGCCAGTGAAGTGTCACCACAATGAGTCAGAACATTGGAGAAGAGATGACTGTGACTACTAATTGAATTTTACATGTGCATAAAAAGTGTGTCTTCTTTTTGCTCAAAATTTGTTGGAGACATTAAAACACACGAGTCCTCTTCCCATCTAAGCATCACATAAGGATTTTGTTAAATGTACTCTTGTGAGTCTCCTATTTCTCCTTTATTTGGGAAACCTCAGGACTCCTTACTCCCTTCCTTTGTACCTGGAACCTAGTGTGCCAATAAAATATATTCCTATATTATCTGCCACATTGTGGATGAGGCAACCAGAGGCAGCCCAGGGTGTGAATCTTCTCTCCACAACTCTGCTACAAAGAGATGCAAACATGGGCACAGTGAAGTATAATTGTAAAATCAGGGTGGAAGTCAAGGGACTTACAGCAGAGGAGAGTCTGGTGGCAGTGGACCTGGGTCAGGCATAGCGAGACTGCAAGCACCAGGGGGAGGTCCGGTAGAGGGACTGCCCTCTCTGCCCTATATGTTCAGATAGGAAGCAAGGGCTGGCCAGGTGACTAAGGAGCATGGATGACTACCTGAGTAAGCAAGGAACTGTGCTAGAACAGGGGACTCTAGAGCTCAAGATTTGGTGAACTGCTGCTTGCTTTCTTTTCCTCCCTCCCTCCCTCCCTTCCTTAAGAACACTGTCAACTAGATTGGCTTAATCTTTTCTTTTTAAATTGTTTTTAATTGTAGATGGACACTATATCTTTACTTATTTGTTTTCATGTGGTGCTGAGGATCAAACCCAGTGCCTCACAGTCCACTACTGAGCTACAACCCCAGCCCCCAGCTGTTCTCTTAAGCTTGCCCAAGCAAACTGGGTCAGTTTTCCTGTGTGTGTGTGTGTGTGTGTGTGTGTGTGTGTTGTTTGTTGCTAAGCTACCAAAAGGGAAAGGTGGGGGATGCTGGGGAGCAGTGCCCAAGAACATGCAGGTTGGTCACTCAACCTCCTACTCTAACTTTGAGCAAGACATTTCAAACTGCAAGCTATGTTCCTGTAAAATTGGCAGTCTGGCAGAGGTTCAATGAATTCTCTGCATACCATGGGCTACCTCCCTTGTGACTCCCCACCCACATTTCACGCTCCCACCCACTGCAGTGCCACCAGGGCCCACCATGTGCAGTAACCTTGATATGGAAGGTATATTGTCTTCAGTTTGACATATCTTTCCCTCTTCTGGGAATTTGCCAGTTCAGCTCCTCTTCAGGTTACAGTATCCCTCCAAACAGATCCCCGCTGGGACCTCAAGCTGTCTGCATTCTCAGATTCATATAAAATCCCACACTCATCCCCACACCATGAGGGGCAATGCAGTATTCCTTCAAGACAGCCTGCCCTTCTTGACCATCACTGTCAGCCTTACTCAGCCTCTTGCCTACAGGAAGTTTCAAGCCTCAATGTGACACTGATTTGTGGTACCAAGAGACTTTACAAAACCAAATAATTCCTGTAGCCTTGAAGCCTCTCACGGGGGGAGGAAAAACTTAGCTTCTCCTCCATTTCATAGGAGATATGTGGAAAGTGAGCAGGACCTTCTAATCAAAGAAAACCAGAGCTGAAGAGGAGTTAAAGTGTCAAAAATATTTCATTTAGGAAAAAGACCTCAGAATAGAACTGGGCTCCATTCTAAATACAGCCTGAACAAGTGGGCATTTATAGTGGGAGCACGCTGAGGGGATCCCTGGATGGAAATAAGTGGAAATATCAGTTTTGACTAAACCGACTGAACAGGATTATTTTTGAAGTTGGTCACCTGATCAGATGCCATTTGTATGTTTTCAGATCTCAAGGGAGATCATTAAATATGTGAAAGTAAAATTCTATATATTTGTAATGGAAGATGCTATTTTATTGTGAATAGATTTGAACATATGGCAGCATCCTTCAATATGGTTACTAAGGTAACTTTTTTTTTCACTTGATAAAGTTGCATTGCTTTCCCCAATACCCATACATGCTGGCTGTGTCACCCTAAATGCAGAAAGACCAAACCTTAGCATACTTCTACTTGAAAGAGTAGATAAAGCTGTTTTTGCAACAAAACCCTCACATTAATAGTCGTCTCTGTCAGTTCAAATATTTATTGATGATACACTATAAATCAAATAAATAGTATGGGGCCATTCCATTTCAGAGCTCATAGGTTATTACTGGTGGAAGGGGGAATGGGGGATTATGAATACACAAATCATTTGGTGTTAATGGTCTCTACATGAGAATGGATACCAAAAGAAAAAAATTAAGTATATATAGTTCCATAACGTTTTTCATCATTTCCATCACAGTCTAACAGTCTTGAGGCTGAAAGACATGTGTTGATGAAGTCCCCCAGGTTGACTTCTCCCCAGCTGCTTACCTCATAAGCCAGATCAGTACATTGTGCCTTCAATTCTAGCCACATTTTTTCCAATTCCTCCTCCACCTCTTCCTCCTTTTTCTCCTTTCCCTCTTCTTTTGTTTTGAAATGTCTTATATTGCCTTAATTTTTGAAAAATTGTTCAGATATAAAAGTCTATTTTAACAAGTTTTTCTCCCCTCTTTTTAGCACTGTGATGATGTTTTCCCATTGTTTTTTGGTTTTTATTATCTCTGATGAAATTTCAGTTATTTATCCCTCGGTTCCCTTGTTCATTGAAGGTCTTTTGTCTTATGGTTGTTTTAAAGATTTTTAATATTACTCCTCAGCAATTTGGTTATAATGTTTCTTAGTATAGTTTTCTTTACATTTTTCTTGATTAAAGTTGAGTTTCTTATATCTGTGAGGTTATCGCTTTAAGAAAATTTGGAAAAACTTTGGTTATTATTTCTTCAAATGTTGCTTTTCTGAACTGACCTCCTGCCCATATTTCTGGAATTGAGTCATATAAATGTTAGACCTATTGATGTTGACTTACTGGTTACTGAAGTTATGTTATTTTTTTCACTTTTATTTCTCTGTGTGCTCAGTTGGGATAGTTTCTACAGAGTCAGTTTTAAAGTTCGTTTTTTTTCTTCATCAGGGTCTCCTTTGCCATTAAGCAACTCATTAATTTTTTAACATAATACATTTTATTTTTCCACTCTGGAATGAATTGATTCTTCTAAGTTTATAGTTTATTTCTCAATTATTTGCATGTTTTTCTTTAAATCCTTTATACTATCCAGTTAAAGTCCTTGTCTGATAATTCCATATTTCTAGCATTTGTTCTACTGATTTTTCTTCTGATTATAGGTCACATATTCTTGCTTCTTCAAATGTCCAGTAATTATGGATTAGATATATATATTTTTCATTCTTGAGTGTTTGGATTATCTTTTGTCTGCTTTTAAAGGGTGTTGAGTTTTGTTTTTGGTAGGCAGTTAATTTACCTGTAAAACACCTTTGTTTTGTTTTTTGAGTTTTAAAACTTTGTTAGAGTGGGTCTAAAGTAGCCTGCATTCTGGGACTCCTTGAGGTGACTTTTCTGGGGTCCCTACTGATCACCTGAGATGTTTAATGTGGTTTCTCTACTTTGCTCAGTGTTTAATAATTCCCACCCAGTAAAAGCTATGGCAACCATTAAGCTTATAGCTTTTTGGCAGTTAGTTATTTTGTCCCCACTAGATGTTCTTTGTCCAGCCTCTTGGAGTCTCGACCTATACCTACAGAGGTCAGCTGATCTCCTTGAAGATTTATGGAGCTCCTTCTTGGCATAGCTTGCTCCTTTCTCTGCCTTACAAATTCCAGTCATGTCAGTCACTCCAAACTACATTTTCTCATCTAATAAAGACTACTATGATCTGATTGTCCCCTCTCCTTCTTGTAATGGGGTCCAGTAAATGCCTCCAGGGAGAAAGTCAGAGATGGTGGAGTTCACTTCATTTGTCCTTTCTTTTGGGAATCACAGTCCTGCAGTTCCACTTTTCCAATATCTGAAAATCTTGTGTATTTATTTTATTGATTCTTTGGATTTTTTTGAATGAATTAATTTCAAATGTAAAGCATTCAGGATAATAATACATAATACAGAGCTTAATTTTTAAAAAACAGTTTTAGAAAATTTCTTCCAACATGTGTAAATATAGAAATACCATATGGATATATAGTAACTGTATTAAAACAGGAAATTTTGGACTGGGAGGATACAAAGTAAGCTCTAACTACCACCCCACCTCTTCTCCATATTGGAAAGATAGGAAATTCTCCTTTATTTTTTAAGAAAAAAAGAATAGAATGTGTATTTTTACATTTAGTACACGATTAGTATTCCAGAATCATGCTGCAGGTTTTGAATATCTCACAAATGGTGAGACACAGGTAGGCACCATTGGATGACATGGAAGGTTGGTTCCTGGAATCCTAACACTCTTGGGGCTTCTGAGGGATCTTCACAGGGCAGACCAAATAGAATCAGGACTAAGACATTCCTAAACAAATGTTAATTAAGCTCCTACTGTGGATGATACTCAGTGCTTAGAGCTTTGATGTAATGCTTTTGAATCTTCAGAACACTTTCAAACACAGGACCTTCTTAGATATATTTTAGACCTGTAGATTGTCTTATTCACCCCATGTTCTTAGTACTTAACCTTAGTACTTACTGTTTCCTCAACTGCAAGATAGAACTAACAAGATCTGTAGAAGCAGAGTGATTTATGTAAAGAGTTAAGTGTGCTTTATGGCCTATATTAAGAAGCCAAGAAATGTTGGATGCTGCTGTCACTTCTGTTTACTAGATATAGTTCTGGTCACAGGGTGAGAGGGTTTTGGAAAACAGTAGCTCAAATGTTTGTGGCGCTCTCTGTGATGCATAACCTGAGAGAATCATAATCTAAGAATCTCAACGGTCTCGGAGAAAGGAGGACTTTCTAAATCGAAAAGAAACTGGTCCTAGCCAAGTATTTGTCAATTATGTTGCAGCCCAAGAATCTTAGCTTGCATTTTCATTGCCAAGAACAGGGCTGGGTAAGAGGCTGAGGGAGTTAGGGGGCGTGGCTTGACTTGGGGGAGGTCTGGAGAAGAGCCAGAAGGAGGGGCCCTGGGAAGGAGGGGCCTGGCGGAAGGCAGGGCAGAGGTGCGGGGGCGTGGGGCGGGGCGTGGGGCGGGGCGTGGGGCGGGGCGTGGGGCGGGGCCGGCTACAGTGACAGCAGGAAAGGACTGGAGCAGAAGAGTTTATTTGCATTCTAGAAGAGCCCTCAGCTTTCTGAGCCATGCTCAAGGAGGTGGTCTCTCTGGCGACCGCCTTCTGGGCAGGGATCCATACAGGGACTTTGCTGGTGGGTGCTGTCGTCTTTCTGTTCTTTGCTGACTTCAAAAGGCGGCGCCCAAAGAATTACCCGCCCGGGCCCTGGCCTCTACCTGTGTTTGGCAACTTCTTTCAAGTGAACTTTGAGAATTCACACTTGGATGTTCAAAAGGTAGGAAGGGGTGAAGGTGCTCGACTGCGTCCATATGCTAACCCTGACTTGCAGGACAAGGGACATTCTGGGGACCTGGGGCAAGAGGATGGGTGGCTGGGCAGCTCATGCTGCTAACCTGCTAAGTCCCACTTTGAGCTTTGTTTACCTTACCAGACAACTGGCATCATTCTACCTACCTGCCCTTTCTAGTGGCGCAGCAGATTTAGATGTTTACTTTTTAAGTGTGCTACCTAGGTTACCTTTCTTAACTCATTTGTTTTCTTCTTAAACATTACTGAAATTCTTTTTTTCTTGTAATGTCCTTCTTTATCCCTGGTAATTTTCTTTTACCTAACTTTATTTGATAAAATATTGCCGTATCAGCTGTCTTTTGATTATTATATGAGTAGTATTTGCTTCTTTATTGTCTTACATTTAACACACTTTTTATAATCATATTTGAAATGAATTCTTGTAGACAACATATACTTGGTTGATTTTTTTTAAAATTATGCCTATCTCTGTCCTTAAATAGGTGAAGGTAGGACATTTCTACTTAATCTATTCATTGCTGTGTTAGTGTTTAAGTCTACCAGTTATTATTTTTTCCCTGGGTTGTTTGTTTGTTGCTCTGTTTTTCATTCCTGTTTCCCTTTCCTGTCTTTCTGTGAGCTACTTGGACACTTCTCTTATCAGTCAATTTTTATTCATTTGTAGGGTTTTGAAGCATATCTCTTTTTAAATGTGGTTGCTCTAAATATTATGAGCTATATTAGTAGCTTAACGGAGTCCACCAGTGCAAGAATTTTCCACTTCGTGAAAGAGAGACATAACAATTTAGGACCCTTGACCTTCACACTTTATAATTGTTTTAAACATTATATCTACATGCACTTAGAACCAAAATATCATAATTTTGCTTTTAAATGTCAGATGAAATTTTTAAAAAGCAAGAACAGTCTATTGTACTTATCCATTTTTTCCCACAATTTGTTGCTTTTTCTACATTTCTCTTGTTCCAAGTTTATCATTTCCTTTATGATGTGAAGAACTTTCCTTAGCTATTCTTTCAGAGCTGGGTTGCTGGCAAATAATTCTCTTATCTTTCCTTCATCTCAAAATATGTTTATTTCACCTTCCTTTCTGAAGTCTATTTTCACTGGACCTAGAATTCTAGGTTGGGAGTTTCTTGGAGGAACAGGTTTCTTGGAAAATAGAGGCAGAAGGGAGGTACCCCATGAATAAGATAACTTTTGCCTTTCTTCAGAGGTAGAAGTCAGAGGACTTCCCACATCTGTAACATAGGGAAGAATAATTCCTTATCACTGAAGGAGAAGGTGGAGATTAGAACTATGTCCTTTAGGGAGTCTTTAGTGCAGTTCAGGGGTGAAAGTCACAATTCTGCAGAGATAGGACATAAGGAGAAGGTGAAAGAAGAGGTTATACCATGCTTTCCACTGCAGCTACACCCTTCAGGGGCAAGGAAGGCCACATCTTCATGATGTTTGCCTCCAGGACAGAGAATTAGAAGACTCAAATGTTTCTGTCCTGTTGGGCTCCTCTTTTCCTAGTCTTTTGGCCAAAGGTAGTAGGATTTTCTTGGAGTTTTGTCTGTGATAATTGTTCTAGATTAAGAAGTTTGATCTATGTCCTTCTTTTTCTATTAGGATAGATGGGACTAGAGAAGTTAAATGATTATCCTAATGTCACAAAACTGGCTAATGATGAGCTGTAATCCCAACTACTCATAAGTCTGAGGCAGAAGGATTGCAAGTTTGAGGCCAACCTGGGCAACTTTAGTGAGACTCTGTCTCAAAATAAAATATAAAAAGGGATGGAGATGTGTCTCAGTGGTAGAGTTCCTCTGGGATTAATTCTCAGTACCACAAAACCAAACCAAAACTCTAGCCAGTGGATGAAACTGAGACTAGGATCTTATTCCCAGTCCAATGATTTTTTAAATCTCAATTTAGTTTTTATTTTATTTAGGTTTGCATTTTTATATTTCTAATGTAAAGGAAATAAAATTAAGTGGCATAATTTAGTAATAATACTATTAAATTTATCTTCATGCACTTGGGAAACATTAAATATTAAGGTCTTTTTTCCACATTTTTTATTGATAGATTATATAGTTGTATATATAATAGAACCTGATAGGTCTTGTGTCAGAATTTTTATATTCCTCTTCATTTAACATTCATGATAGGTATAAATTTTAGGTACCATCTGGTGGCATTTCCATTTTACCACTGAGAAAACTGAGAACAAATGTAATGTGATTTTCCCAGGTTATTCAGAGGATAATGGCAAAGCAAGGTCTTGAATCCAAGAATATTTGACTTAAAACTTATTGTCTCCTATACTACTTGACTCTGCATGATGTTAGTAGAGAATAATTGACTTTTCATGACATAGTTATAAGCTATATATTTGTATATGTATTTCTTCAACAAACATTTATTAAGTACTTACCATGCCAGGCACAGCCCAAGACAGTGCCTGATGAAGAGAGTTTTACAAACTCCCGTAACCCAAATGGATACTAGGAAATGGGATCACAATGGATGTGAAATCCTGAAGACAACCTTTTGTGGAATGTTGGAATTAATTGGATTGAATTTTAAAGGAATTTCGGGCAGGTGAATGGATTTTTTATGATAGGATATATTTTAAATGGGTATGTGGCATGAACTAAAACACAGTGAGGAGACCATGAAGAAACTGGCTTGTGTTTGTGGCATGTGGGGAACTTTGTTTTCCCTCCCCCTCACACTTTGTAAATTTTCTCCATCATTGCTAGATGGCTTATTATAGGAATCTGTATTTAAATGAAAGAAAGTCTTATTGGGCTAAGTGTAAGAACTGTACATAAGATGGGTCAATTTATTAGTTAGCATGCACAGCAAGCTGCTTTTAACAAAGAGACCCAAAATTCAATGGCTTCAACAGGATTGAAATTTCTTTCTCTCTTAAAAAAGAGTTCAGATACAGGCAGGAAGTCCAGGAAAGAGAGGCTGTTCTGTACCACAATATCATCCAAAATCTCCAGTTCCTTCTATGCTGTTGCTCTGGTCCTTCACCAACACCATCATGTGTGGGTTCTGGCTCATGAGAAGGGGAAATGGAGGTGGTGAGCAAGCAGTTTTCATTTAAGGCTTTCACCCAGAAGATGCACACATAACCGCTACTCACATCCCACTGGTTACACCTAGAGAGGCTTAGAGATATAATTATGATGCCAGCTAAAACCTAGGCAGCTCCATCACTCAGAGGAACAGAAAGAAAATATCTTTATCTCTTCAATGAAGGATGAGACCTATAGAGGGGACTTTATGTAAAGAGCCCAAACTTTATTTCCACTAGCTATGTGCTAAATCTTTGTGCCTCTTTGTTCTGAAAACTAGGTATACTTTGTGGGATTATTATAAGTATAATAAAAGTTTATGAATATCAAGTGATTGCCAGGATGCCTAGCATGTAGATGTGCTTATTTCTGTATTTCTATATTTTTTATTCTTCTCTTTTCTGTAATAGCTATAGAAAAGCCAGTTGTTGGTTATAGGCTGGGCATCGTTTATGTGTCCTCGTTGCTGGATGAGTCCCATCAGCCTCCTCTCTGGTCTCTGTCCCTCCATTCCTTAGATGCTGCCATTATCAGAGCCCTCTTTCTAAATTATACCCCCTGAAATATTAGTAGTAATAGTTTCATTATTAATTTTATTATTATGGTTACTTATCACAATAATCCTAAAATAGGAACTAGTTATATTCCCTATTTTATAGAATTAGAAACCAAAACCAAAATTAGAAACTGAAACCAAAACCAAAAATAAATAATCTATCCCCAAATTACACATGAAATAAGAAGCAGACCTGGATTCAAACAGGTTGTGTGACTCCTAAGTCCAGACTCTTAGCACATTTCACCTCTCCTACTCAGATATTTCCAGGCTTTGTTATCTGTTACCAAGTAAGATCCAAATATTTCACTCCTGTGTCTAAAGATTACCACATCAGCACTGTCACCCATCTTCCTTGGCACCTGAGAAGAAACTCTTTTCTCTGTGTGCTTCTATACTTTCCCACACCAAACAACTTAAGGATGGAATAGTAACAATAAGAACTTATCTGTATGCTCTGTTAGATTGTGAGCTTCTTGAAGTTAAGGACTTATTGAATCCCCCAGCGCTGGGCCTAGACCTTCAGCATAGGTCATGCTCTTCAATGAACATTTCACTCCAGTTAGTCAGAGTGAGTCCTTTTTATGCAGACACCCACATTTTCTGCCTTTGCATTTGTATGGGCAGTGCCAACAAAGGAAAGTGTCTCTGCCTTCATAATGAATGCTCTTTTGCTGATATCCTTGCCTTCATTTAAGATCTGGCTCAAATACAATTTTCAATATCTGGCTCAAGTATTCTCTGATATCTGTGGTGGAAATTCATCTCTTCCTGCAATACCTCACACACCTTTCTGCCAGCATTACAGCATATGTCATGTGCTATGCATTGCACTTTTTTTCTGTACAGTCGCTCTTTCTCAAGAGGTGACCTGTGAGACCATTATGCTTAGCAAGAGTATATACAGTCATGCACAACTGTATTTAGTTGTACAAGGTTTTACTGGAGAGCAGATCCATGACATATACTAGATTTTCAAAGATTCCATACTCAAAAAGATAAGAACCACTGTTATAAAACTTCATTTCTTTTTCTTTATGGGATAAAAAATGCTTTTTCGATAAAAGCAACACATACACATTGAGAGAATATTGTGTGTGTGTTTGTGTGTTCATACTTTACTTAGTGTAATGATATCCATCTCATTCCTCCATCTTTTTTACACCCCTTTCCCCCTTCCTCCCTCTCCCTCCCCTTTTCTCTATATAGAGTTTGTCTAATCTTCCCATACTCCCCCTCCCAACCCCACTATGAATCAGCCTCCTTATATCAGAGAAAACATTCAGCATTTGGTTTTTTGGGATTGGCTAACTTCACTTAGCATTATATTCTCCA